AAGCTCTGTCTCTCCTGCGACCGAGAAGTTCATTCGACTAATCAGCTTTTCACTAAGCACACACGGTCGTTGCTTTGTGATGGTTGTGATTCTTCGCCTGCTTCGATTTTCTGCTCCACTGACGCCTTTGTTCACTGCCAGAATTGCGACTGGGAGACACATACGAGTTCGAATTCGAATTCGAGTTCGCCGGCGACACACGACCGGCGACCTCTTGAAGGGTTTACTGGTTGTCCTTCTGTTACTGATTTGCTATCGATTTTAGGGTTTGAGGATTTGAGCAAAAAAGGGCTTTTACTTTGTGGTGGTTGTGAGGAAGGATCCGATTCTTACGGGTCGGGTGATAAGTTTCCGGATTATCTTGTTTGGGATACTCCTTCGTTTGTGAGCCTGGATGACCTGATTGTTTCAAGTGGTTCTGAGCACAATTATCAAGCCATGGGTGTCCCTCCTCTCCCCAAGGTACAACGTCTCATTCTTCATAAAATGGTTGTCGTTTGTTTATTAACTCTGACTGTTGAATCAGAATCGAAATGCTGCGTTTGGAGCATACAAAGATGAACTTGTTCGCCAGCTTCGTGAATTGGCAAAGTCTGACCCAAATGTGGATGGCGATGAAGGCATTATTAAACCAATAAACGATGAGTTTCAGCCTATTAATATGGCAACTACACAAAATAATAGGAGTTCAGGGTTTGAACATAAGTTAGAAGAGCAGCAAGTAGCATATTCTTCAAATGAGGTATTAGTCTCGTCTTCATTTTTCATTAAGGAAACAGGTGAGAAATGAGTATTGAGTAACCTCTAGACTTGAATACACAGGCGAATACATTTCAATGGTGTCCCGATGTTTGTGATGCCGTGGGTCAAGATTTATATTCTGACCAATTACATAACGCCACAGAGACACAATGCATAGTTCCTGTTGAAAAGATCGATACTGTTCATCATAGTATCACTGCTGAAAATACACAAGTCTTCCCCAACACCTTTGTTGGTGTACGTGAAATCAACAGTCAGGAGAGAGAAACCGCACTCTCGCGATACAAAGAGAAGAAGAAATCGAGGAGGTATTGTATTTTGGTTTCGCAGAGTATTTTTTTTAAACATTATTTATCGGAATTTAATTCGGGTTCCTTTTTTTATTTTTCTTTTGTTGTCAAACTGGTTATAACAGGTATGATAAGCATATTAGGTATGAATCACGAAAGGTAAGAGCCGAAAGCAGGATAAGGATCCGGGGTCGTTTTGCAAAAATGGATCGTTTGGATGTTTGATAGATGATATAGTGAGTGAGTGTAGTTGTGGTATTGCTTCATGCATATCAAAAGATGTTTGTGAGTAGTGCCATGGTTTTATGTTAGTTTTGTGTCTGAGTAGCTTTTGAGCATGTTTTGTTGTGAGTGTAGCTTGTAAATAAAATAAAGATATGAGTTATTTAATTAAAATTGTAACCTAGGTTTTCAAATTTAACCAACAATTTGCAATGTAAGGTAGTAAAGAAGCAAAGTAATCGTGAGAGTCACCATCGAATGGAACAATGAGAAAGATTTCAATGTAGGTACGTTAATATATTAGATAAAATCGCAAAAATGGTGCAAATTATTTATTTATTTATTTATTTTTTGTTTTAATCCAAATCTTAATTTTTTTTGGGTTGATGGTCTTTTTAAGTAAGTTTACTTGCGGTTTTAGTCCCCGTCCAAACTAAAAAGACTATTATACTGAATTTATTTTTTTTATTTTTCTTTCACTTTTTAAAATTAATATATATATATATATATATATATATATATATATATATATATATATATATATATATATATA